TTTTTTTTTATATCTGGCTAGAATAGTTAATGGCTTACAAGACTTATACTTTTGGACGTATGCATGTGATATGCATGCATACATGGCACTGCTTTATTTGCTTTTAGATACAAGTTATTTGTCTTGTTTTATCTTTCATTCTTAGCCATAGATCTTAGATCGTAGGGTGCTTATTATTTGAGCCTGTGTAAATATATCATTTTGTATTCTCTCCTAGGTCATTATTCAATACTACAGTTACAACAGCTCATCTTTCTTCTCTTGTGCATTGCTTGTTCAGATCTATTACGTGTTCCTTTATCAATGGCCATCAATATTTGCTTTTATGGTGTCAGCGGGTTGATCTTAACTAGACTCTGCAATCTTAACCGGACTATGCAATCAATGAGGAGTGTCGGTTTTTTTATTTTGAGATATGAGCTTGTCCCACTTTATTCCATCATATCCGTTTCTTTATTTCTTAAGCTGAAAATGGCAAGTCAAAGTTCTGATTCTTCGAGTTTTGGCCTTAATCCATCTGTAATTCAACCTCAAGCTTAGTTAATAACAGTGAAACTCAGTGAAAGCAGTTATCTTGTTTGGAAACATCAGGTCTTGGCTACTGTGAGGGGATATGGTCTTGAAGGCTTTGTCTTGGGCACAACACTACCACCTGAGAGATCTGTTGCAGATGAAAATGGAGCTCAAGCTTCTCTCAACCCACTTTATCTCAACTGACAAACAAGACCAATTGTTGGTGTCTTGGCTTTTGAGCTCTCTTACTGAAGAGATTCTTGTGAATACAGTTGGGTTGAACACTTCACATGAGATCTGGGAATCACTGGAGTTGGTACTCTCCCAAACTTAAACCCTTGTTCGTCCCCGAACAAGAATAAGAAAATCAAAACTCAAGCATAATGAGTGATATCAAACCAGAACAACTTCAAGTACTTCAATGCAACCAAGAAAAATTCAAACGATCATAATTATCATGCTTTTGACTACTATCTTGTATCTACCTTGAATCAACAAACTCTCAAATAGGATTAATAAAAGTGCCTCACTCACATGTCATCAATATATATAAGAGAAAGATACGCTCAAGTCAAATTAAACATCCGGTTAACTATATGTTTGCCAATCATCTAACACTCTACTTCAAAAAAAACCAATAATCATGAGCTTTAAATCAAAAGGTCTTCTCGAGTTGTAACGTAGGCTATTTGGTCAAGGGTAAAATATATATATGGGTAAAGTGGCTCAAATAAACAATAATATCATTCGAGTAAATAGACTACTCGACTACTCCGCTACTCATCCCTAAACAACATAAAGTGTTTCTCATCCCCAAACAAAAATAATCCACACACAACTCATAAGTGCTCAAATCAAATTGCAAAGGAAGTACTTGACCATTTTTTTTAGGAGAGTTTATTATTATTATTTTTTTTTCCGAACAAGAACAAACCGTAAGGACAACGTTCCCTAGATATAAACATTGGAGGTCATCCAAGTATCATAGAGTAGTTTCCCATACTCATTACCCCTCAAAATAAATCAATTAATAAGAGGAGTAGAACCTCGACAGTTCGACTTGCGAGCTCCCTTTTATTACCAAATTTTTTTCTTTTTTTTTTTTCCGATCAAACACTTTAAATGCAACTCAATTACAACATATTTCATATCCAATTATCCAATAACTAACACTGTTATCCCCATACATCCCTTTCAGTAGTCAACTCTCAACTTAAGTAAGATAATCTGGTTGACAAGAAAAAGGCTTAAGGCTCAAACGGGCTACTAGTGAAATATATCTTTAAGGACAAAGAAACAAGGCCAAATGAGCTAATTCAAAAACCGCCTAAATCATTTTTAAAGCTCACAATTACCAATGTATTTGTTCAAGCAAGAATAAAGGCAAATTCTAATAACTCGGGTATCCAATTGACACACACAGACAAGGAATAAAGGCTCAAGTCTCACTAGGCTCAATATATCGCTAATTCAAGGTTCACAAGAATTTTCATCTAGACATGACAAATTACAATCCCATCACAATTTCTCAATCACATCAAATCACCATTCACCATTCAAGTTTTATCCACCATTCAGTCAAAGCAAAAGAAATACACAAGGAACCGACTCAAGCAAATTATTACTATATCCTAATAAAGCAAGTAAGCGTGTAACCTAAAAATAAAAATAGCCAAAAAAAATCATAAAAGTAAAAACTAATGTAAGCAACTATATGATATGCAATAAAGCAATAACAACTCTAGATATACGACACTTCTCTCCCTCAAACTTATTCTTTGGAAAAGAATTAAGTTTAAGAAAAGTAAATGGTATATCTCAAGTAACTAACTGAATAGTTGAGCGACCTCCATCGTAATCAATCCTTGCATCCTTTAGCACGATCATCTTCTCCAAGCTTCGCTCAAGCACTCGATCACCACCAATTTTTTTTGCTTCTTTTTTTATCAGATTTTTTTAAATGAAAATAAAAAACTAAAAATAAAAATAAAAATAAAAGCGATAAAAGATGGGTTGCCTCCCACAAAGCGCTTGATTTAACGTCTTTAGCTAGACGTCTTCCGAGTTCTTAATATGGGTCGTTTCCATTCATTCCGACAGACTCCTTCACCATATTCCGACCCCGGCGTTCCTCATCTTTCTTTTTTTTTTCTTCGGCCCTCGATCAATGACAAATGTATAATGCTCATCAAACGCCCGGAAAGTGAGCTCTTCACGCTCGATGTCTATCAATACTCGTCTGGTTGCTAAAAACGGTCGCCCCAATATTAGCGGAACATCATCTTCGTCATCCATGTCTAGCACAACAAAATCCGCCGGATATATGAAATCACCGACTTTAACCATGATATCCTCTAAAATCCCTCTCGGGTAGGACAATGATCTATCCGCCATTTGTAGTGCAATAGTCGTGGGACTAAATTTCCCCGTCTCCAACTTAAACTTCTCGAACATCGACAACGGCATCACATTTACACTAGCACCCAAGTCGCACAAGGCCTTCTCAACATAGGAATCTCCAAAAGAACACTCAATAGAAAAGCTCTCGGGATCCTTGCATTTGAGGGGCAACTTCTTTTGAATTTTTGCGCTACTCTCTTCAGTCATGGCCACAACCTCGTACACCTTGAAATGTCATTCGACCTTTTCAACCATAGCGGGTTCAACTTCTTTCACTTTATGTTTTGGCGGCTCCTTAACTTCATCCTTTTCCTCTTGAATATGGATAACATTGCATTGCTCCTTTGGATTCACCTCGGTAATGCTCGGAAATTGTCCTCTCTGCTGTAGACTTCCAGCTGCCATGGTTAGTTGCCCAATTCATTTCTCCACTGACTTCTGGTGATATTCCATTGACTTATTTGATTCTCTAATATAGAGAACCTAGCCTGAGACTCGCCTATGAATTGTTGCATTTGAGTCATAAATGTTTGAGTGGTAGTTGCTAATGAGGCGAGCGCATCTTCGAGTGTTGGCTTCTTCCGCTCATTGATGACCCCGTTGGTCACTAAAAACCCAGGAGGTGGTTGTAGAGCATTATTTGAATTTGCATATGATAAATTGGGGCGATTATGGTTACCTTGGTAATAAGTGTTCCCCGCTTGAGGTCCTCTAAAATTTCCAAAATTCTGATTATTCACATAATTCACGTCCTCGACCGGTTCCCCAACCCCTAAGCTCTCAGTCTTCCCCCCTTGCATGCTATTTATCACCAATGCTGCTATTTGAGCCACCATCAAAGTGACAGAGTCCGCCTCATCCGTAGCCGCCACTCTATTAAGCATAGTCCTCTCAACTGGCCACTGATAGCTATTCGACGCCATCTCCTCGAGAATTTGCTTCGCGTTGTTTGGTCGCCTTCCCAAAAGGTCACCTCCAGCTGAGGCATCCACCATGGCCTTCATCGGGCTACTCAATCCATTGTAGAAATAGAAATTTGGTGCTCCTCCGAAAAACCATGTTGTGGGCACGTCCGAAGGAGTTGCGTGTAGCGCTCCCAAGCCTCGTATAAAGGCTCACCATCTTGTTGCTTGAATTGAGTGATCTCCATCTGAAGTCTCAACATCTTACTCGGTGGGAAGATCTTCATAAGAAATTTCTGACGCATTTCCTCCCATGATGTCACTTTCCCGGCTTCAAGAGAATTGTACCAAACCTTGGCTTTATCTCTAAGAGAGAAAGAGAAAAGTCGAAGCCGAATAGCATCCTCCGGGACTCCATTGTTCTTTACCGTACCGCATATCTCCAGAAATTATGACAGATGCGCATTCGGGTCCTCGATTGCAGCTCCCCTAAACTGATCATGTTGAACCATTCGAATTAAGGACGGGCTCAACTCGAAAGTGCTAGCTGCAATTCTAGGCCCGTTACATCCTCCGTATACTTGATCCACTTGAGGTTGGAAGATGTTCCATACCGGTTTTTCAGTCTCCTGTTGATCCTTTTGCTCAGCTAGCTGGCGTTGTAGTTCCGCCAGTTGTGCTTCAAGTTGTCTATACCTCTCTTCACCTTGTTCCTCCATCCCGCCTCTCAGTCGTTGTTGTAGTCTCCGATTTGCGTTGTTTCTTCGGAAACTAGCTTCAATCTCGGGATCTAATTTTGCGGGTGAACTCCCACAAGACCTCGTGATCATGCAAGTACCTAAAAACACGCAATAAAGGAAAGAACAAATAAACGAGTCCACGATAAAAGAAAAAAATAAAATAAAAAATAAAATAAAAATGTCTAAACTAGTATCTATTCGCCTTCTTCTAATATTAATTAATTTAACAATCAATCCCCGTCAACGGCGCCAAAAACTTGTTCGCAAAATATTTTCACTACCCGCAAGTGTACGGTGTAGCTGTAGTAAGCGGCGAGCAAGGTCGTATTCCACAGAGATTGATGTTAAAATAATTAAGTACCAAAATATAGACGAATAAATATTATTTAGACTAACTCGAATTTGAATGGTGATTTTGATCTAAACTAATGAATGCTTGCAAAATAAATTCTAACACTAAAGAAGGCTTGTACTAAGATAAATCAAGAATGAGAATATAGATTCTAGGCTATGCTTTCCTCGGGATTATTCGAGCAAAGTTTTCTTATTCATTCAAACCTTATTTAATTCTACCAATCGTAGGGATAATCGCTAAAGTAATTTACACCTTTCTCTCGAACAAATTAAATCGTAGATATTAATTGTTATCTATCTCTTCTCGGTCTCAAGATGAACAACCAACTCCCATAAGTTCTTAAGATTCTAATTCCTCGCAAGATTCTATCAACCTCTCGGTCTATTTAGTCTCTTACGTTATGAATTTCCCAATTCTAGAAATCAACTATCTCATCTCGGTCTCAAGTCAAATATGCATAAATACGGGCCCTATATTCACACAATTCATATAATCACAAAAAATTGATAAACAAAAGATAGACCGGAATGAATAAACAAAATCACTTCATAAAATAATCCGAGTACTCGCAAATCCTAGAATCTTTAAGAGCTTTAGCTACTAAACATATTCTTAATACTCAAAATAAATAAATCCATGAGTTCAATGAAGAACGAAAAAAGAAAAGAAATAAGAACTATTGTCACCGTTAGTTCCCGAATCTTCAATCTTGACTTCCTCGAATCCCTCGTGCGTTTCGTGCTTTCTCTAGGCCTCCAATAGTGTCAAAAGTCTTAAAACCGTGTTCTCCAAGTTCGTTATATACTGTAGGGCAAATATGGGTCGAAAAAAGGTATATATCGCGTAGGAATCTTATTTCCCGCTGGTCAGTCTGTGCGTCACACGACTCGTGTCATATGCCACACGAGTCATGTGATTTTTTATCGAATTTTTGGCCAACTCACAGACTCACACGACTGGTCACACGACCGGGTCACACGACTGGGTCACACGACCCGTGTGAGGTCACACAACCCGTGTCACTACGACAAACGACCAGTGTGAAAATTCCATAGCGAAATGTTTTTTTTCTCACTCACATGACTCGTGTCACTTCCCACACGAGTCGTGTGTCCTTTTCAGCACCTGGTTTTTGTCGTTTTTTTGTCCCGACTCCATTTTTTAAGCTTTTTCGGGCATATTCCTTCAAAACAAACGCTAAAAAACACCTCTACCGTAAATTAATAAATATAGCATAATAGTGCACAATTCCGACGATAAACACGGCTAAATATCACACTATATCACTAATAATGCATGAAAATATGATGAATGTCAATTACTCCACTCAATCCAGAGCCAAAGTCATGCAAATCAAATCTCAGCTCCATAACCTCAAAAAGGGTGCCCAAACAATGAGAGAATATTTAAACAAGATCAAAGCTTGCTATGATGCTCTTGCAGCAGCTGGTCACACATACTCTGAAGATGACCACATCTCTTCCATGCTTGATAGACTTGGGCCTGAATATGCTTCAGTTTCTGTCTCGGTTAACTCAAGAATCCCTCCTTGCACTCTTAGAGACGCTCAGTCATTGCTGCTGACCTTTAAGAGTAGAATAGAGAGAAACACCACAAACTCACTCAATGGAGATGGATTTAGGGGTTTTTCCAACATAGCCTCTCAACAAACATAAAAAATAGGGGGATTTCTTCCTAACCAAAGCTACAAAGGCAGGTCCAACCAAAATAAAGGTGGCTTTAGAGGTGGAAGATCAGGCAGAAATAGTAGCTACTGAGGGAGAGGTGGAAGGATGAACTTTGTCAAATGCCAAATCTGCCAAATGGATGGACATACTGCAGATAGATGCTACAACAGGTTTGACTGATCCTATACCTACTCTCAAAATAACAACTTCAGAGGGAAACAAGGATTCCAAAACATGGCTAATATGGCAAACCTTAGCTCATATACTGGTAGCACCTTTGGAGGATCAGAACCAAATCAAAGTTTTCAAGACTCACAATGGCTACCAGACTCAGGAGCCACCAACCATATCACCTCAGACTTGAACAACCTCATCCTTGCTTTAGAATACCTTGGTGATGAGAAGATAGAAATGGGAAATGGTACAGGTATGTCCATCACATATACCTTGGCTCATCTATAATCAAATTTGTTTCCAATAAAAACCATTCTTTCATCCTCAATAACCTGCTTTGTGTACCTCATATAATGTAATATCCCGTCAGTTTATTAATATAAATCATGTTTTAGTTCCGGTATAATAACGTTGTCAATTATTATTTTTGGAATTAATTATTTTCAGTCGAGATTACCCGAAATTATTTTCGACGTTCCGTTTACGTTCGGAATAATTTTGGTAACTAAGTATTATGCCTAATTAAATAATTAAGCATTTAATGGTGATTAGTTAGTAATTAATCACATTCAAAGCACAAAAGGCCGTAGCTTTTAAATTGTTTTGTTCAAAATCTTTACAAAATGCCGTAGCCAATTCCTTTATACAAGGGAAATATTTTTCCTCTCCTTCAAGCTTGTATACGTGTCATCTTAAGAGGATCTAAGTGATGACTAATGATTAATTAAGATGACTAAGCACTTTGGATTAGTATGTGTCATATAATGATGAAGCCAACAAAACATCTCATTATCCCAAATTTCCCATTCGGTTATATATATATATATATATATA